AAATAAAAGCGCTGAATTTAATTCTGTCTGTTGTCTATGCTCATCATTAGTCTCGTGAAGTCTCGTTTCATATCGCTGTTCACTCAGCGGGTTGATGCTCAGGAAATGCTCCAGCACAGCCTCCGCATGTAACTTTTAACAAGATTCACTTGTTTAAAACACCCTAAAATTGTATTAACATTTACTATATAACCATTAGTCCGCTAATAAACATCTAAATAAATACAACTCTATGGAAATGAATTATTTATTATCTGCACGAGCGATCGCAGTTTGAGTATAGTTCATCTTATAAACCTACTAAAACTGTAGTTTAAAATGAACTTGATATGACTCTATTTCTTTTCTCCATTTGAAAACATTAGACATTCTACATTTATTTGTTTATTGTTAACATTAGTGTTGTTGCTGTTGATGCTTTTTATAAATAAAATGTTTTTTTATTGTTGTAATATGAAGATTAAATTTAACATGAAAGACTGCTAATTTTCAACACTTTAAAAAAAAAAAGATGCCTGAAAAGAGGAAAACCCAAAGTGAAGTATGTTCTTACTTCACTCAGTCATTTATTTACTTTACAACAGTAAATAAATATCGGTTCTGCATATTGGTTATCGGGCACATAAACATGCAAATAATTGGTATCGGTTATAAAAAAAAAAATCTATATCGGTTGATCACTATACGTGACCCTGGAGCACAAAACCAGTCATAATGATCCATTTTTTTTAAATTAAAGCAAGAAGCCGTGGTTTACAGTGATTTTATAACAGCTAAGGTGCATTGTTAAAACCCCCTTAGCTGTTATAAATTCATTGTAAACCATGGCTTCACGGGGCTTATTGCTTTTTATTAATAAACAGTATTCTTCCACCAAACAATGTAGCTCCTCAGAAACAGTTGTGGTTGCAACAAAGTAGTTGCCGAGCAACACACAGAAGTAAACAAAGCTGTGTGTTACTTTGTAGCGTCATTTACAACAGCTTCAAACGCGGCTCAGCCAATCAGAACCAAGCACCGGAACTCTCCGCTTTATAATGAGATTTATACACCATCTGAAAGCTGAATAAATGCTTTCCATTGATGTGTGGTTTGTTAGGATCGGACAATATTTGAAAATCTGGAATCTGAGGGTGCAAAAAAATCTAAATATTGAGAAAATCATCTTTAAAGTTGTTCAAATGAAGTCCTTAGCAATGCATATTACTAATCAAACATTAATAAAGTATCTTCATGGAACATGATCTTTACTTAATATCCTAATGATTTTTGGCATAAAAGAGAAATGTATAATTGTGACCCATACAATGTATTGTTGGCTATTGCTACAAATATCCCCCAGCGACTCAACACTGCTTTTGTGCTGCAGGGACACAGATAGTATGTTGCAGAGATGTCTCTAAACGCATCTCACCTGTGTGATCAGTGACTGGACCCGCCAGTCGCCCCATCCCAGGTTCAGCTTTATACACGTGATGGGTCAGCTCAGACTCGCCCGGACCGGGCTTCACACTCTTCCGGCGCCTCGGCTGGTATTTGTAATCCGGGTGATCTTTCTTGTGCTGAACTCTCAGTCTCTCGGCTTCCTCCACAAACGGTCTCTTCTCGTTCTCCGTCAACAGCCTGTCGAGTGACCACCGGTCAAGATCCAGTGTTATTTACCAATGCATTCGATTCAAAGTTAGGAACGAGACAGAAATCAACTACAGAGGAGATCAGTGGATGCAGCATATGTGCACTAAACGTGTTTATTATTTACACACAAAATATGCCTGATATACTGATTTTAGAGGTTAAGACCAACGGGTACTGAACCACAACATACACTTTACAGAAAGTATAAATATTTACTCTAGGGAAACTTTGGAAGTAATATTAAGCTATTTTCGCAATTTCTAAGTAATAATGCATACTGAAAATTGTAATAAAAAAGCTTTGACTTGGAGACCCAGGATATAGCCTATGTGATAGTTACAGAACTTAGGTTAACTAACACGTTTTTTTAGAATTCGGCGTTACCTCCTTATTCATCATTTTATGCATTTATTTATTTGAAGGCATTTGAAGACTCCGTCTTGGTTTTTCTGGTAGAAATATTAAAATGCATAGTTGATAATACGTGCATGTCTAATAAAAGCATGATTGATGTCAGTAGCTCTGACCTCCAGAGTTTTCCGAGGGTCTTGCTGAGCTCGGCGTTGTGCAGGTGTGGGTACTGATCCGCCAGCTTCCTGCGCGCGGCTTGAGCCCACACCATAAACGCGTTCATGGGTCTCTTGACGTGCGGCTTGCTCCTGCTGGAGTTTGGCATAAAAGAGAAATGTATAATTGTGACCCATACAATGTATTGTTGGCTATTGCTACAAATATCCCCCAGCGACTCAACACTGCTTTTGTGCTGCAGGGACACAGATAGTATGTTGCAGAGATGTCTCCAAACGCATCTCACCTGTGTGATCAGTGACTGGACCCGCCAGTCGCCCCATCCCAGGTTCAGCTTTATACACGTGATGGGTCAGCTCAGACTCGCCCGGACCGGGCTTCACACTCTTCCGGCGCCTCGGCTGGTATTTGTAATCCGGGTGATCTTTCTTGTGCTGAACTCTCAGTCTCTCGGCTTCCTCCACAAACGGTCTCTTCTCGTTCTCCGTCAACAGCCTGTCGAGTGACCACCGGTCAAGATCCAGTGTTATTTACCAATGCATTCGATTCAAAGTTAGGAACGAGACAGAAATCAACTACAGAGGAGATCAGTGGATGCAGCATATGTGCACTAAACGTGTTTATTATTTACACACAAAATATGCCTGATATACTGATTTTAGAGGTTAAGACCAACGGGTACTGAACCACAACATACACTTTACAGAAAGTATAAATATTTACTCTAGGGAAACTTTGGAAGTAATATTAAGCTATTTTCGCAATTTCTAAGTAATAATGCATACTGAAAATTGTAATAAAAAAGCTTTGACTTGGAGACCCAGGATATAGCCTATGTGATAGTTACAGAACTTAGGTTAACTAACACGTTTTTTTAGAATTCGGCGTTACCTCCTTATTCATCATTTTATGCATTTATTTATTTGAAGGCATTTGAAGACTCCGTCTTGGTTTTTCTGGTAGAAATATTAAAATGCATAGTTGATAATACGTGCATGTCTAATAAAAGCATGATTGATGTCAGTAGCTCTGACCTCCAGAGTTTTCCGAGGGTCTTGCTGAGCTCGGCGTTGTGCAGGTGTGGGTACTGATCCGCCAGCTTCCTGCGCGCGGCTTGAGCCCACACCATAAACGCGTTCATGGGTCTCTTGACGTGCGGCTTGCTCCTGCTGGAGCCGTTCACTCGCACAGGCATGGGCACTAAAGACCAGTCGTACCCCTTCAGCACCTGAGACACCGCGTCCCTGATGCACGCCGGGAACCGCTCATCCTCGTCCTTCCCCGGGAGGCTGAGCGCCGCGCGGCTGGCGGGTCCAGCGGGAGACGAAGGCGCGTCGGAGTCCGACTCCTCCGCAGACAGCGAGCTGCTCGAGCCGGCGGGACTGCACGGCGGAGGCGGCTCTGCGCTGGACCTCTCCTGCTCCTCTGTCATGATGAGCGCTTGTGTGGAGCTGCTGATGGAGCTCGCGCTGTGCGCAGGCAGAGTCACTCCTCCGATGCTCAGTGCTGAGTGGCGATTGGTTTAACACACTTCACAAAGAGGGAATCTGATCAGCTTCACTCAGTCAACTTTAGGCTATTAAGGGTGAAAGTGCGTGGGCCACTTATTGTTTCTGAACTTACCCAGATGCTTTGCTTTATTAACTTTAAGATGCAGCTGTAACATTTTCGTTTGAATTCAATTCATATCATGTATTATTTGGAAGGAGCATGCACACCAGTAAACCTCCTGAGAGCATGAGCTCCAGGCCAGTTTCTTTTCAGGTAAAGTGGGCCATCGCTCATTTATCAAAAAAATAGAAATGGTTCATTAGAAATGTTTGAAAACTCTTATTTTAAATATTTTTTATATTTATTAATACCAGTGTTGGGAGTAACGCATTACAAGTAACGTGAGTTACGTAATCAGATTACTTTTTTCAAGTAACTAGTAAAGTAACGCATTACTTTTTAATTTACAAGAGAATATCTGAGAATGATGCAGTTCAAGCGTACTAATAAGCACGAATTACTCTAGACAAACATTTCTGTGTCTTTGTTTATTGCTGAAGTGTGTTGAAATGTCTTCTTCTGCATTCTACTGTACGTTCCCTTCAGCCTGAGGCGCATTCATTTCACTTTTGGTGTGAAAGGCTTTTATATTTGCCAAAAATATAACTTTTTTATATTAAAAACAAACAAGCAAGCCCTGTCCAGATTTAAAAAGTAACGTAGCGCATTACTTTCCATAAAAAGTAACTACCGTACTAACTAAGTACTGTACATTATTAATAATAATAATAATATTTAAAACAGTTGAGTACATCTTTTCAGGATTCTTTGATGAACAGAAAGATCCAAAGATCAGCATTTATCTGAAATAAAAAGCTTTTGTAACATTACACACTCTACCATTCAGAAGCTTGGAGTCAGTATGATTAACTTTTTAACTTTTTGGGGGAAATTATAGAAATGAATACATTTATTCAGCAAGGGTGCTTTAAATCGATCAAAAGTGGTGATACAGATAATTACACATAAACAGTGAAACAGTTGGAGTGCTGCTATCACTAGAATATCACACTCCTGGAAAAGACTCTTAGCCAATCAGATTCAAGGACCAGAAAGAATTGTTGTGTGATATATATATATAACTTTGAACCCAGGTTCTTTTGAAGTCAACACAATAGCATTAGCAGCATCATGTGAACCTATCAATGGGGACTCAAAGATGTTGCCTTTCAGATGAAAAATCAAGATTAATAAGCCATCACCATTCAGTAAATGCTTTGAGACGGGATATAGTGACATGTATGGTCAAGAAATACATATTCATTATTTGTGCATGAACTGCTGATCTGTTGTTATAGAGTACAACCAAAAAAGTAGATTTATTTCTGTGTGCTTGTAAAGTCAATTCATGTTCACACGTAATTATATTCAGTTTCAGCTCACAGTTAACGCTACAAGTCTAGGAAATGAAAGGAAACACTGGCCACAGCTGGTTTCACTTGATGACAAGTGCTGGAACGGGTTTGAAAGCATCTGAGAGTAAGAGTGTCGACAGAGGTTACGGATGAGACAGCATTGAATCCAGCCGTCATAGCGCTCTGTATTGTGGGGAACAGTCCTGCTTTATGTTTATAATATGAGAAAGAGAACCACGGTCACAGAGGAGGAAAAGAGAGGCCTGCGTGAACTCACCGTGTCCCAGTGAGACACAAGGGTTTCATTTCGTAGCAGAGAGTCTTGGTTTTGTGTCTGCCATCTACATGTCTTTGTCCTGACCAGTTCCTGTCAGACACAGACAATCAAAAGCATTTTCAGTCAATGGATGGAAGTGGTTATCTTACTATTACTTTTTTGTGCAGTTATGTTTCCATAACAATGTGTTTATACCGCCTGTAGCTTTTTAGCAGAAATTAAAATAATATTTCACCCCAAAATTAAACATCTATGAATTACCGACCCTCATGTCATTCCAAATATATAAGGGGCCGTTTGCACAGAACACGTTTTTCTATTCCAGTGCGCTACTTTTCCATTGTTTTTCTATGTAAACATGCGCTAGATGATCGTGCATGACCGCTGCGCTCGTGTAGCGTCCTGTAGCATTTTTAAGACGTCTTGTCAAAAGTTAAAAGAATTGAAACTTTTTACAGGCAGCGCCCGCGCATCACTGTCAGTTCCGATACAGTGGACCAATCAGAAGACACAGGAGGCGGAGCAAGCGAAAAATCTGAATGACTGGACACCACTCGCTGAGTTAAGCATGTAGTGCGAGGTCATGCGACGACTGGGTTGAAATGTGTATCATTGCATTGTTTTGTCACTGCATAAACCTACTGTTTCATTTACTAAAAAATCCAGTATACAGTACATACTGCCAAAATGTATTAAGCGAGTCGTGAAAGCGTGACCCTCACCCTGACCTGAACTCATTCATCTTAATGAAAGGTTTACTGTTCTAATTAGAGGCTTTGTTTAAACATATTAGAGGGAGATGTTGCAAGGAGCAGGAGGGGATCGAGGATTCAGACTGAAGGAAACAATTAGTGTGAGTGGCTCCGAGTGAACTGGCTTGAAGCCATTCTTCAGCGCTGTGTGGAAGAGAGTTCAACTACTTCCAGATTTTATTGGCTGTATGTGTTTATTCCCAGTTTGTTCAAGCTCATACTGAAGGGCCACAGGTCAGATAATTCTAGCTTTTGTAGATCAATAACGTAAAGAGTAACAGTTTGAGTGCGTATCTGCAGGCATGGTCTCTTTCTTTAGGAACGAAAGTCTTGTGCAATGCACAGTTTTCATTCGATTTTCCGATATCTGAAAGATGTACGCTATTTTCCAAACATGACAGGTTTAGTGCTTGAAAGAGTGTAGTAAGTTCTGCAATGGGATAGTTAAGGACACCATATTATCACCCCCCTCCCATTCCCACTCCATATGGTCCGGATAAAAGTTGTGGCATCCTCCGTCTTCCAACTCGTCTGTCTTTTTGATCCCATATGCTCATAAATCAACTTCCTAATTTTCATGTTGAATTTAATTTGCATGGGACATTTGTTTCCGAGCACTGCGATCCACCCCTGTGCTTTTTACGGGAAACGGGATGTGTCCGCACAAACACACAATCACAAGGGACTCCTCGGTTTTCCACAGGCTTGTCTCGTTCCATCGCAAACCCAGCATTCCCATTACCAGCCTTATCAGCAGCCTCGTGATAAAACTAAATGCAAATTTATTAAAAAGAAAAAAAAACTCAGTGCTTAGTTGAAGCACATTTCACAAAATGTGAGCACAAAGGGGTCATAGGATGCTCATTTTCCACAAGTTCTTTAGGGTCTTAATGAGAAGTCTGTAACATAGTTTAGTTAAAATTTCTCAATGGTAGAGTAAAAACACCTTTTTACCCTGTCAAAACCAGCTCTTTTCAGATCAAGCCGTTTTGTAGCATTTCCCTTTAAATGTTAATGAGCTCTGCTGACTCCGCCCCTCTCTTCCCAGCTGCTCTCCTAGAGACTGTTTACTTTAGCCGCATTCATCGTGAAACTTGCTAATTAGCACATTATTAGGAAAGGCGATTTGCAAAGATTCATTACAAAACATACTCACTTCTTCTGTAGATGAAGCTGGATCACGAATGATTCGCACGAACATAGACGCATTTATGTAGATAGGGGCGCATTCCCTTCTGAAATTCACTGTGTCTTCAGCGGCTCAGATGTCGGGAGTAAATGACGACTGCTATGTTCATTATTACATCCAACAACAGAACACCTCAATCGCTTGTTAGGAGTTATTCTTGTCAACATCTGCTCCGGCGGTGAAACAATGGCGGACTGATGACAGCTCACTCAGGGCGGAGCTAAGACACCAGTCCAGTCTGTGCTGAAACGCTGCTGTCAATCAAACTATCGTGGGAGGGGCCTGTCTGTGTGACGTCACACACACAGGCATCTGAGATCGGCTCGATTTGAGAAAGGGGAAAACATTTAACCAGATGAAAAAAAAACACTGGGTGGATTTTTATCATTATAGGGTGGTTGTGTACATACTGCCAACACACATTTCAGTTCAAACAACTTGTAAAAGTGCATGTAGCATCCTATGAACCCTTTAAAGACTTTTTGAGTAAGATACGACAAGCTTACCTGGGTTTTGGGACGTTCTGCCATTCTTTTCTGCAGATCTCAAACTCCGTCAGGTTGGATGAAGACCATCATTTTCAGGTCTCTCCAGAGACTGGGTTCAAGTCCAGTGGAGTCGTCCCTAGGCCACGCTTGTATTGTGTTGACTGTGTGCTTGGTGTGTACTGCTGGAAGATGAACCTTCACCATGGCTGTAGTCAGCTATGAGGTCTGCACCTCAGTAAGTTTCTCATATTCAAAAATAACATTTGAAGCTCTCTGAGTGACTAATTAGCACTCCTCTTATGAGTGTGTGCATGTATAATGTTGCCAGATCCAGTTATTATAAGCATCTTTGGATGTGTTTTTTTTCCACGTAATGTGACACTTTAGGAAGTTAATAAAGTACTGTTACATGAATATTAAACAAATAATAGAATTATCCACCCCTAACCTATAGTAAAGCGTTAATGAATTTTGATGCAATACATAAGGACTAATTCAACAATGTCCATCCCCCAAAACAGAGAGAGCAAGTGCCATAGCAAAGGGAAGTAACAGTAAAGTAAAGGTAATTTTATTTTAATGAAATTAGCAAAAGTATCTCAAATCAGATTTTTGCTTTGTCATTGCTTTGTGAAGGCTGCAACTTAAAATGCGCTGTACCTTCAACAAATAACTTATGTCTACAATGTGATCCAAAATAATAATAAAATATATGCAATATATATTTTCTAGTGGAGGGCTACTGAACTGTGCATCCCTTTAGCCTCAATTTATATGAACAATAATGGAACGTGTTTGTTGCGTGATGAGTGATTAAAAGTGCAACAGCT